TGCCTCTGCTACCACCGGCTAACGCAGCGAACACCCTCGTAGAGGCCTTGCGCATCATGGAGAACTGGCACGCTGTCTTTGCAATCGCGAACGGCGTTGCCAGAATACAGAGCGCGTCCGAGACGTCGGGCGGCTTCTCGAGCGTGCCTGCGACGCCGTAAGACCGTCCATCCAACCACGCTAGAGGACGTATTGCACGCTGCAGAGCTCGCAGCAGGTGCAGCCAAGGACGACACGCCATCTTTCGACACTAGCACGCCAACCACCCAAAATGCAAATGGTATACGTACATCGTGATGAAGTCGCACGAGGTGTATGTCGAGTGCTGTTATGGCCATGTCGCCGCGCTGGCTGATGGCACATGGTGCGTCTAGTCGTCTCTTTGAACGACGCAGAAGAAGCGCTTGAACGGGAAGAGCACATGGCCGTCGGCTTGGACAGGATACGCCGCCGCAATCCGCGACGCATACTCGTGCAGAAAGGCCTCGCGCACATTCCGGTCGTCGATCGCATGGACGTACGGCCCGAGGCCCGTTGATGACACGAAATACACAACAGGATGACGATAGGTCGGCTCTTCGTCGCGCGACGCTGGTACGAGCACCTGCGTGTACTCGGTGCTCCACAAGTGGATGTGGTCCGGGCGCGCGATGGCGGCAAAGAGGCCGTAGTACGCCAACGGGTCTTCTTCGGTCGTCACCCAGCGCACGCCTGCGATGTCGACGCCAAGCGCGCGGGCTGCTTCGGGCATGAGCACGTGGCTGGCTTGGACGCGGGTGTCGGGCATCTGAATGGCCAAGACGCCACCTAAGACACATCGATTGAAGTAGAAGGCGAATGGCTAATGCGGGTACCTGGCTTGAGCAGCGAGAAAAGCCGTGGCAGGAGCACCTTGTGCACGCCGAACGAGACCCAATGCAAGGCAGCATTCGAGAAGATAATGTCCACGGGCTCGGCGACCGAAAAGGTTTCAAAGTCCGCTTGCGTGTACGTGACGTTGTCGACGATGCCGGCGTGCGCGGCGCGGGCGGACGCCAGCATGTCGGTCGACGAGTCGACGCAATGAATGCGTGCTGGGGCCAGCGCTCACTACCGCGTCATCATGACGCTGCGTCCTCGCGAAGCAACATGATACCGCATAAAGGGCGTGATGTTGCCCGTGCCGCAGCCCAAGTCGACGATCGAGGCAACGTTATTGGGCACGTGGATGCGCTGGAGCAAGTCGAGCGCGGGCTGGAGGCGGCTGGACTCAAACTTGAGGTAGTGCGACGGCGCCCAGGCGCGGGCGGCGCGCGTCGTGGTCATGGTGCAAGTTGGCAAGTGCGACCGATTGCAAGACTGAAAGGCCATTGGCTGAAATCCTTCATTCGTACCCTTGATTGGGGGATTTTCGAGCCAACCTCCAAGCTCGGAACGGATTTTGCGATCCCAGCTTGGAGGTCGACCAAGTGAAACAAATCCCGCGAAAAGATATCCGAGGACCGCTCTCGTGTCCTGGACTGACTGTGCGGCATACGACGTCCACGCTGGTGGTTTGGCGACTGCATGTGTGTCAAGGTATCAAGGATTCGGCGTTACGTACACTGTAGTAGGATTGAGAGTGCTGTCCGTCGACTAGTACAACATCGCTAGTCGTGAGGAGTGTCCTGATTGGTTTGGTCGGGACACCAGAATGCCGCGAGGTGGCAGATAATCTGGGATTCCAACGCCATTCGCCCGGAGTTTTTCCGGGATGGGGTGCCCGATTTCCGGACGATTACGGTTAGTTATTCGCCAACGTGGCAGATACGAGCCAATGGAAAGCGCATCGGAATGGCAACCGCCCGGCAACCGCCCGGGAACAGCCAATCAAATGCCTGGATACCAATTGCTAACGACGAATAGGATCGCTGGATACCAATTTTGACACACCAATCCAATTG